ATCACACCCTTGGGTTGTGACAGTCCCAAGTGATCAGTTGTTGTCTTTTCAGTCTAAGGGAGGCTAATATTTTACCTGGTGGTCCTAGGTCCATGATCCCTTAATGTAACAAATAGGCCTGTGTCCAGGCAGTGGGCAATGGCCGCTGGCTTCTTGCACTCTTTCAAGGGCTAGTGGGCACTGCTCAGTGTACTCAGCTCTGTGTTCTTCCCTTGGTGCACTCGTTTTGAACCTTTGATCTTCACCCCCCATCCCTGTTTTCTTCTTTAGTTGCTCTCTGGGAGCTTCTAGCTTTCCCTGAAATGTACTTTTCCCTTCATGTGTACTTAGTGCTTCCCACCCCCCCAGCACTATTAAGGGGGCTTTCGGCTTTACTTGTTGGGTGTGCCCGCCTGGCCTCGAACAGCCTGTCCCAGGCAGCTTTGGTCCGTGTCCGCCTTGTTACCCCGGGTGGCCCTTCGAATAGATGTTCGCTCCTGACGTGGTACTCCCCAATCTCACCTGCCACGACTTTGAATCTTAATACAGTGGGGGGTGGTACCACTCAGATTCCCTCCAGGGTGAGATGTCTTTCTGGCGGTCTTCTGCAAGGCTCCACCTCCCCTCTACCTCGCCCTTATACCCAGCTGTGGCGGGTCACTGCTGTTCTTGTGGCCAGCTCCCGAATGCCGGGCCCTGGTTCCTCCCTGGTTATCGTGCCCGCTGACTTTCCTTAATGCTAACCCCGATCCTGAGGCTCACACACCAATCGGGCCCTCCCTATGCCCTGATACTCAACGCCTCCAAAAAGTGGGAAATGCAAACTGGATCACAAAAAAAAAAACTCAGAAGAAAAGAGCCTTCCTGACACACCCTGAGGGACCCCTCCGTACCCCCATCTGGCCCCGAAGGCCAAATCACACACAACCCGCTTCCCTAGACTTTTATGGGGCGATCCTAGGCTCTACACATGGTCATGGGATTCTGTGGCCTTCCACAGACTTCCTCTCCCTTGCCGCTCTGGCTCCTATATCTTCGGGCCCCCTGAAGACCTCCGGTGAACCCGAGTCCACCAGTTACCCGTGGTATCAACGATACGCCCCCATGGTCTGTGCTCCGCAGCGTTTTGTGCTGCCCTGGCCTCACGTCTTCCACTAGGCGCGTCTCTCTGGCTGCCCCAGGGCCCTCCACCGTCCCACCTGGTCAGGTGCTGGGTAGTGGCTCAGCACCTCCCCCTCCTCCACGGTGGCCACTGGAATCAGAGTCCCTCTGGGCTCTCCCATCCTGTCCTTCTAGTCTTTGAACAGGAGCCCCTGCCCCTCATTCGGTGTTGTCTTCACCGCAGCTGGCAGCCTCTGGCTCACAGCGAGCTCAGCCGGATCCTCCTCCGCTGGAGAATACCACTTCCAGCTCCGTTCACTCCGTTAGGAGTTTGAGGGAGACCCCTCCTGCTGGGGCTTCTCCCAGCATCCGTCCCCCCACCTCTTTGCTGGAGGCCCGCTTTATTTCCGCCAACCGGTGATTGTTGTTGACGTCACCAGCCAGCCGCAGCTGTATGAAGGCGCGGCTGATGATTCGCGCGGGCTTCTCCCGGTGTTCCGGCTTCGCCGCGGGTCCTGCTGCAGGTGAGTGTTCCCTTTTACTTTTGCTTTTTCCTCCCGGTTCTTCCCCAGATTCCTGTTCCCGGGGTTCCCCCCTTGCCCTTTGGGGTCCTCCCTTTTGTTTCTCCCTACGACAGTGGGCATTGGCTCACATTCCCAATGCACATCAAATAGGCCTGTGTCCAGGTAGAGTTTCACTGATCAGTGTCTACAGCAGGGGTGGGCAATTATTTTGGGCGGAGGGCTGCTTACTGAGTTTTAGCAAGGCATCAAGGGCTGCATGACAGGCAGGCTGGGGCAGATAAATATTAATTTTCTAAATTTTTTAGGGGCCCCACGGGCTGGATAGAATGGCCTGGCGGGCCACATCTGGCCCATGGGCTGCATTTTGCCCACCCCTGGTCTACAGGCTTCCTCAAATCATTTGGGGACCAGGGGGTGCTGGCTGGTGTTCTCTGTTCCGTGTCCCCTTCTAGTTCCCTTGTTATTAACCTGTGATCTTCATTCCTGGTCCTATTTTTTTGACTTGTTCCAAGAAATCCTTTTGTTGCTTTCTCAGGGACTTCACTTTTTAAGGGGGTCTTATAATTTTTTTGTGGTGAGCCTAGGTCTATGTTCCCTGACCATAACAAATGGACATGTGTCTAGCCAGTTTCACTGGTTGGTGTCTACAGCCTCCCTTAACTCATTTGGGGGGCAGTGGCCTGTGTGCTCTGCTCGGTGTCCCCTTGTTATTAACCTATGGCCTCATTCCCCTTCTGTTTTCTCTTTATTTATTCCCCAGAGTTAGTTGATGTGTCCCCAGTGGCCTCCCTTATTAAAAGGGGCTTATAGTATTCTGTGATGGACCTAAGCCCATGGTCTTTCAGCACATTAAACAGGCCTGCGTCTGGGCAGAGTCTCACTGGTCAGTGTCCACAGGCTCCCTTGACTCCTTTGTTATTTACCTGTGACCTCACTTCCTTCCCTATTTTCTTATGACTTGTCTCAAGGAAACAGTGGATGTGCCTGTAGTGGACTCCCTTCTTAAGGGGGGTGTAACTGGGGGGTGGTCCCCCTCTATTAACCTGACCCAGGAACCAACTTCCTCACAAAAGGTAGGCAGCACTTTGGTCCCATTTCCAGGCTCTTTCTTTTTACATGGGAAAAGCTTGTCCACATGGTAAACAAGGCAAGTGAGAACATAAACAGAAGTACAAATAACAGACACAAGTAAAACCACAGGTCTTTCCTCCAACCTAGAGAAAGAGGCCACCTAGACTTCTGCTTTTCTCTCAGGACACCAGCCTCCTCTATCCCTCTTCCTCTCCCTCAGTTACCCTCCCTTGGGAGCTTGTAACTTTCCCTGAGGCCAGCCAGTCATCCCTAGCAGCTGACCCAGGGCTCCTAGGGAGGCAGGCTATCACCTCCTAACCCCCAGTGTCTAGCTGTCTTGGTGTGCCTTGCTTTCCCCCTTAGGGTTGTTGGTTGTAGCCATGTTGGTCTAAGGGCATAGATAGACAAGGTTCTTTGGGTAGATGTGATATCTTTTATTAGACCAAATAGCTGGAAAAATTGTTCTTTGCAAGCTTTCAGGCACAAATGCCCTTCTTCTGGCATAGGGAAAGTCTTGCTTCCCCCTTGGCACAGCAAGAAGGCCCACGTCAAGCAGAGGCAAGAAGGAAGCCTGCCCTGAGTCTGACCAGGGCACAGCCCCCAGTGGGGAAGGGGTCACAGTCTGCACTCCTCTCTCCCCTGCTTCAGAGCGACTCATGCCTAGGGACACATCTGGGTTTTACTGGACATGTCCTCTTTTTTGGGTCCTCCCATTTCCATCTGGGCAGTTTTTTAAAATATCAAGAAATGTCCGGGATTGTGCTCTGCCTCTGCTCAGCATCAAAGTTTTTCCCCCGGCACTTCCTGTCTTGCTTCAGCAGGGAGCTGCTTGGGCCTGGGGGGAGTCAGGGGGAGAGGGATTGCAGGCTGGGGCATCATGCACCTGTCACTGCCCTGGCAGCTGCAGGCAGGTAAGTCTGAGGTGGGGTGGGGGTCAGAGGTTGTGCGTGTGTGTGGGTGTGTGTGTGGGGGGGGTGATGCCAGGGCTGCAGCAGGGCAGGGAGGTGCCTGCCCCTCCAGTGAAGCAACGGGTGGGGGGGGGAATTCTTCAGAGGGGCAGCAGGGAGCTGTATAGGTGGCAGGGCTGGAAGTGAGGAGCACTGGCAGGGCTGGGGGGGTGCTATGGCATGGGAGTGAGGGGCACCAGGGGGGCAAGGGACTGTGGGTTGGGAGCATGGTGCACAGACCCATGGGGGCCTAGGAGGCTGCGTGTTGGGAGTGAGGGGTTTCAGGGAGGGGATTGCTGTGGGTTGGGAGTGAGAGGCAACAGCAGGGCTGGGGGGCGGTGGTCTGTGGCTTGGGAGTGAGGGGCACCAAGGGGGTCCTCCCATCATATTAGTGGCTCCGCATCCTCTTCTTTGAAACTGGAGGTATGGTAGCCCTACTCACGCCTCTTTTCTCCAACACCACTGTGAATGTGGCTGAATTGCCAAGGACGTGGCTGGGCCCTTGCTGCAAGGTCCGTCCCCGTCTGGGGGAGCACCCCACTTCAGGCGGGCGAGGGAAGCCATTTCCCCTCCCCCGTGGACCAGCACGCGTGCAATCCCCGGAAACTACAACTCCCGGCATGTCGCGCGGCGGCCCCCGAGCGGGAGCGGAAGGAGAGAGGGATGCCGG